GCTGACCATTATGACTAGCATGACCAAGCTAGTCAGTCAGAATGGCCACAATGACCAAGCTGATTGACCACCATAACTAGCATGACCAAAGTAGTCAACCAGCATAACCAAGATGGCTAACCAGCATGACTAAGTTGGTTGACCAGTATGACCCAGCATTGTGAAGATAGTCAGCCAGCACAATCAGTACAACTAAGCCATGGTCATGTTGGCAGACCATCTAAACCATCAGACTTGAACAAAAACACATTGATCAACCAGCTTAGTTACCATCAAAACCAGCTTAGACCAACCAGCAAACATCAAAACCAGCTTAGACCATCTGAAACCATCTACCAGCAGCTGCTGGTCTGAGCTGGATTTTTCTGCAGGGTGAAAAGTTCAGCAGCACAAAGGAAACACAGAGCAGAACATCTGAAACGCTTTATTACTCGGAATTAAACTGCCTTTATAAGACGTTCAGTGCAGACATGCATGACTGAGCTGTAAATGTATAACAGAAACTCCTCCCAGTACAACAGAAACTCCTCCCAGTAAACTGAAACTCCTCCCAGTACAACAGAAACTCCTCCCAGCACAACTGAACCCCCCCACCACACACACACCCGGTACAACCGAAACCCCTCCCACTATAATCAAAACTCCTCCCCATGCAGTGCATCACTGGCCGTGTGCTCCATGTCTGTGAGGAGGATAATCATGGAGGACACTCGTGGTTGGGGAAGAAACTGAATGCCTAACAGCAACATAAACAGACACAACTGTACAAAACACACTGCCGAGTAAGTGGATTTGCAAATTCTGTCCCAAACGGCGAACAGATTTTAGACTGATTGGAGACGCGTTTGACTACCAAGTATAAATGCATGTGGCTAAAATCTTACCAGGATACAATCCAGATACTGGACACAGGAAGTGACCAGGTGTAAACAGGGTCTTCATCACGGTCCAAGTCCAACATGAAACTCTCCTGAATTTCCTCCGCTAGTTTTAGGTAATAAAATGTTCCTCTGCATGATGTTTATGTGCAACACTAAAACAGTGAGCCTTGTATGTTATTGGTTGTTTTTCCTTTCCTGCATATCATTTGCATCACTCATGAACCTTTAAGGATGCTCTGTAGTGTAAATAAGTGTAAATAGTGTGAATAAATAATTTTTTTAGGTAAAAATAAAACAATCCTCCTTTGCAGTAAAATAAAGCTTTGCTGAGCCTTTCAACACAGTTCTAACAGTAAATGGTTCCAAATGCTGGAGTTAATTCATAAATGGACTTAAACACTCATTCACTGTTTAACACTAAAGGTTAATAATTTTAATAATAATAATAATTTTATTTATATAGCACTTTTCATGCCGGTGGCAGCTCAGAGTGCTTTACAGACAGGTGATAAAACATAGTTATAGAAGAGATCATTAGTACTTAATTAGAATCAGAAGAAAATGAAGAAGATTAAATTAGAAGATAAAAACCACGAGACGTTCAGTTTTAGTTAAATGCTAATTTAAAGAGATCCGTTTTTAGGTGCTTCTTAAAAGTGAGCACTGAGCTTGACTGTCTAATAAAAAGTGCACTGAGCTCCACAGTTTAGAAGCAGAATAACTGAAAGAGTCTCTCCATGTTTTCTGTATTTTACTGAGGGTCTCTGTGGAAGGCCACTATCTGCAGATCTTAGATTGCGTACCGGAAAATAAACAGACAGACACTCTGTGATGTAAGCAGGTGCTAGATTGTTTTGAGCTTTAAAGACCAGTAGCAGAACCTTGAAATCTATCCTGAATGATACAGGCAGCCGGTGCAGTTCTTTCAAAACGGGACTGATCTGATCTCTCTGTGTTGTTTTTGTTAGGATGCTGCTGCGTTTTGTACGAGTTGTAAGGGATGTGTAGTTTTCTTAGGAAGTCTAGCAAGAAGAGCATCACAGTGATCAAGTCTGCTTGTAACAAATGCATGAACAAGTTTCTCTGCGTCGCTTTGAGAGAGAAAAGGCCGAACTTTAGCGATATTTCTCAAATGATAAAAAGCTACTTTAGTGACTGTTTACATGTGGGGTAAAGCAGAGCTCAGAGTCTAAGATCACACCATGTTTCGTACTTCAGGTTCGGTAGATGAAGCTAAAGAACCAAGTTTCTCAAAAATCATTTTTCTCTGAGTTTCTGTACCAACAATCGGTAATTCAGTTTTTTCATGATTTAATTGTAGAAAATTTTGCGACATCCACTGAGAAATATCTGACACACAGCTGGTTAGTCTGTCTACAGAGTCTTGATCTTCAGAAGGAATAGTAATGTTCCTAATAACATCACCTAGAGGTAGCATGTACAAAGAGAAAAGCAAAGGCCCTAAGACTGAACCTTGGGGGACTCCACAAGAAACGGCAAATCGTTTTGATGAATGATTTCCAAGTGAAACCATGAACTGCCTATTACTTAAATATGATTTAAACCGTTCTAAAACTGTGCCTGAGAGGCCGACCCAGCATTCAAGACGCTGGAGTAAAACCTTGTGGTCAACGGTATCGAAGGCTGCACTGAGATCTAATAAAACCAAAATAGAAGGATTTTGTGGTTGGCACGAAGACTGCTGGTCACACGGCAATGCAGACAACAGTCTCGCCTAGCTAGTAGCTAACAAAAGGGCAAAGAAAAGAGAGATTTGAGACGTTGATAATTTAGAGACGATGGACATTTGCATTTATAATCAGTCCAGCTGGTTTTCCGATATGTTTATTCTGTAACGAGAAACTGTCCAACACTAACAAGTCACAAAGTTGAAGTCCGTTTCTCGTTGACGGGAAAATTCGAGCAAGAGGCTGGTAAATGAGGAGCGACTTCAGCCTCGTAAAAGGTCAAACGTTGAGAGACATTTTACAAGAAACTGTTCTACTTTTGGAAAAGTTTCCTGCTGGAGATGTGAGAAAAGCAGCTACAGCTGAGCTAAAGCTTAAAGCAGAGCAGAGTAAGTCTGTGTTTTTGTTTATATTACATTATATTTTTTATCCCATACTAGTACATCAGCACACACTGAGACAGATTTACAGCCAAGATGGTAAAATGGACATAAAATGTTGTGACTCTCAAGGTGGTTTGATTGTTGTTGACAAAAGGACAAAGTGGCTCATCTTAACATTTGGGTTGTGACCTCTGACCTAGTCAGAAAAAAAAACAGTGCATCAGACAATAAAGAATGCTTTGTGCATCTTTTACACAGTGATAGGAAACACAGTAGCTCACTGAAAGTTCAATACAGTTTACCGCGGCCGACGTGAACCTGGACACCATAACTCTCTTGATGGCAGATTTGAACGAGTTTAGGGAGCAAAATTCCAAATTCTCGGAATTGATGGCGGGCATGACGCTCGGTTTATTGGTACAGAGGGTGTGGTGATTTGGGGACAGTCTGATATTAGTTTTAGGGTCAGATGTTTGGACGTCACCTGTCATCGGTCTGGTTGATGAGAGCGAAGTGTGTATCGGGCTTTAGGCCGGTGTGTGTAGTGTTAGGTTAGTGTGTGATGATGGAAGTGATGGAATTATGTTCTTTAGCGCTCGTCTGGTTTGTGGGTGGACGGCGTGTGTGTATTTACACAGCTGTGTTCCGACACATGATTTGCTCTGTTTCTGCTACAAATCTAACCGACTGATCTGCTGCCCAGTTATCCCTCAGAGTGAGTGAGAGACTCGGACGTGTGAGTTATGATGGTCATTTCTCAGTGAGTGTTTGCCAGCTCAAGTTTAGTCATTTGGCTAAATCAGTGCTGTATTAGAGACTAGAACAAGTTAACCCCTTAAACTGCAGACCTGTTTAATAAGGAATGTTAGAACGTTTATTCAGAATCTGCTATGATTTATTTAGTAACTGCAATTAGTCTTTCAGTATCTACTATGAATTAATGGTATATACAATAAGTTATTCAGTATGTACTATGAATTATTCAATATCTACTATGAATTGTTTGGTATTTGCTATGAATTGTTCAGTATTTGCTATGAATTATTCGGTATCTTCTATGAATTATTCAGTATCTACTGTGAATTATTCTGTATTTACTATGAATTATTTGGTATCCACACTGAATTATTCATTATGTATTATGAATTTATGAATTGTTTAGTATCTACAATGAATTTTTCAGTATTTTCTATAAGTTATTCAGTATCTACCATGAATTATTCAGTATCTACCATGAATTATTCAGTATCTACTATGAATTGTTTGGTATTTCCTATGAATTATTCGGCATCTACTATAAATTATTCGGTATCCACTATGAATTATTCAGTATCTACTGGGAATTATTCGGTATCTACTATGAATTGTTCAGTACTTGATATGAATAATTCGGTATCTACTATGAATTATTCAGTATCTACTGTGAATTATTCTGTATTTACTATGAATTATTGGGTATCCACGCTGAATTATTCAGTATGCATTATGAATTTATGAATTGTTCAGTATCTACAGTGAGTTGTTCAGTATTTTCTATAAATTATTCAGTATCTATTTTGAATTGTTCAGTATCTGCTATAAATTATACAGCATCTACTATGGAAAATTCAGTATCTGATTTATTTAATATTCACTATTAATGATTTAGTATCTAATATGAATTATTCAGTATTTATTATGAATTATTTAGTGTTTAGTGTGAATTATTCAGTATCTGCTTTGATTTATTCAGTATCTGCTGTAAAATTAATGTCTAAGCTCTGTAGTTGGAGAGGTTTTGAAGAGTGGCTGCAGATAAACTGTAAGGAGTTAACATCTCAATGAGTGTTTGCCAGTTCAGGTTTTACTTATTTGGCTAATCAGTGCTGTATGAGAAATGAGTAGAGAGGCTGAAATGCCTTTGGGTGGACTCTGTTATCTGTTTCGTGACTGTTTGCGTGTCGTTTTAATATCAGCTTCACATGCTGAACTGATGAGGAAACTCATTTCTCTTCTCTGAGGACTTGTTACGAAACCCACCGTATCATTGAGCGATATCTCTAACTCTCATGACCAACAAGTCCGAGCACCTGTGGAATCGGGTCATCAGGTTTGTTTCCGCTCAGGTTCTGTGGTTTGGCTGAGAGATCACTCGGAGCTTGACCAAGCAGTGCTATTTTTGAGTGTAGCGGGAAAAAAAGGTGACCTAGAGTTCACCCCTGAGGCACTCCGCCGAGGCTCAGTCAGGAAAGAGGAGAAATGAGAGGAAAGCAAGGAAAAGAGTGAGGAGAGGAACATAGGGGATGTTAGGGAAATAATCAGAAGAGAGGAAAAGATCGATAGAAGAAAGACTTTGAAGTGAAACAGTCACTAAGAAGTAAAAGTAGCCTCATACTGATGTGTAGAGCCCAGGTCTGAGAAGATACAACAAACATACAGTACTGCGCAAAAGGTTTTAGGCATCTGAACATTATTTAAAACCATCTGTCTTTGTAGGTGCACTTTATAGTTCTACAGTTACAGACTGTAGTCCATCTGTTTCTCTGCATACTTTGTTAGCCCCCTTTTACCCTGTTCTTCAGTGGTCAGGACCCCCATGGACCCTCACAGAGCAGGTACTATTTGGGTGGTGGATCATTCTCAGCACTGCAGTAACACTGATGTGGTCGTCTGCTGCTGTTGTGTGTGTCATCCTCTAGTCCTTCATCAGTGGTCACAGGGCGCTGCCCACAGGACACTGTTGGCTGGATATTTTTGGTTGGTGGACTATTCTCAGTCCAGCAGTGACACTGAGGTGTTTAAAAACTCCAGCAGCACTGCTGTGTCTGATCCACTCAGACCAGCACAACACACACTAACACACCACCACCACATCAGTGTTACTGCAGTGCTGAGAATGACCCACCACCCAAGTAGTACCTGCTCTGTGAGGGTCCATGGGGGTCCTGACCACTGAAGAACAGGGTAAAAGGGGGCTAACAAAGTATGCAGAGAAACAGATGGACTACAGTCTGTAACTGTAGAACTACAAAGTGCACCTATATAGTAAGTGGAGCTGATAAAATGGACAATGAGTGTAGAAACAAGGAGGTGCTCATAATGTTATGCCTGATCAGAGTATGTTTTTGCTTGTAAAATTGACATATATCATTGGAATAGATGCAAATAAACAAAAATACAGTAAAAAAGTAAAGTTGAAATGTTGAGAGAACTTGATGAACTGATTTCTCTTCGATGCCTTCATGTGGATTTGTTCAACTCCATCTGATTTAACGTAATCAAGTACTGATTAGCAAAACCAGTCTACCAAGAGATTTGGAAATTGGTTTATGAACATAAATAACATAAACATTAGTGTTTATTTGTTATTTTTCTTTAGCAATTTAATGCTTATGCAGATAAGTAGCTTTTAAAATGTAATTTTAGTTTCCTAAAACGTTTGCACAATAGTGTATAGAAAAGAAAAAGAATGTAAGTGAAATAGGTCGAACTCTAAAATAATACGGTATTTACAAACTCATTAATTATCATTCGAGAAAGAAAGAGTTGACGAAACTCAGCTGGTTTAACTTAAAGCTAATTACAGTCACAAGAGGAGGGAAGATCTCCATCTGAGGCCAGTCCGAGTTCACTTAGCATCTTCGGAGCGTGTGTGTGTGCGTGTGTCTGGTCCAGTGTGGAGCTCCAGATGTTCTCCAGCTGTGTGGATGAGAGACCGCAGACCCAGCTGTCCATGTGTTTGTATGGCACTGGCCGCTGGCTGGTGAAACCCACTGCTTATGAGGTGAGAACATGAGGAAACCACTGTCAAACAAGGCCTGGAACCACCGTGCGTTCGTGGAGCGAGTTCAGTTCTGCAGACAGCAGAGCTTTCAGAGATCAAATTAAAACAATATTCCAGCGAATAAAAAATTATTCACCCAGTTAAAGCAATAGTGTGGCAAATAAAACTGTCCTTTTACCCCAAAATATAGTCAATCAGCCAGGACGTGTTTGGATTGTGAAGCTTCTTTAGTTTTAGCGCTGGAGCTACGAGGCTAATGTAGCTAGTAAGTGAAAGCACATTAACTCCAGATAAGAAAACAGCATCACACAAACATCCTAACTAGACTAAACCTCCTAAATCCTGTCCTAACTTTAGGATGAACCCCAACAGGGTCCTCACTTCTGTTTAAGGTCCATTTCTATGGTTTTTAGGCAGCTGAGTCAGCAGCATAGTTCACTACCAGCATAATGAGCTCCATTTATTTCTACTGTAAAACGCTGCTTTCACTGTGAGATGATTTTCTTTTCTAACTCTGCGTTTTAAAGATCTCAGACGCTGCAGACTCGATCTCCACCGCCCCTCTGATCACCTTCGTGTGTTAATGTTGATGATGAAATATTACAGTGATGGTGGTGAATAATGAGGAGACGGAGCTGAACGTGTGTCTGTTTATTAGGAGGAGTAACGTTAGCGCGCTCGGCTAAAGCGTTTGGGAAATGGAGACTGAAACTGGGGAGCGGCGACGCTCTGATAAACAGCACACTTTAGTTTTGTTTGACCTTTTTATGCCTGTAACGGTGTATTGTTGGTTGCTAGGTAACAGACATATCAGTTGATTGTCGACTTCTATTGAATAGTTTAGGATTTGCCAACTTGAGATTTGTGAAGTCTTATCCTGACCTGTCAGCCATTTACATCTAGTCCATGTTTATAGGTAACAGCCTCCACACAGCTTGAGGCAGTTATGTGATGGTTTGGACCTGCTGTTAGCACTAAGCTAACTGACAAACTCCATTACTTGTCAGCTACATTAGCTGCGTAGCTCCAGTGCTAAAACTACAGAAGCAAACTTCAGACACCGGACATGGCCAAACTATTGCTTTGAGATCTTTTAATTTACATCGATTTTACCTATCAAAAACAGCTGATCGTCAGCATCCAGCTCAGTTTGTAATTAAAAATAAAGCCTGTCTTGCTGTGTATCAGAGTTTTAGCGCTCAACATTAATCCAAGTGGGCAGAAAATCAATAAAAAACATGGCTACCTTATGCTAATCATTTAAAATTCAAGAAATAAAATAAAACTACCATCATAATTCTAGCATTTTCAGCTCACAGACACTCGACCTGTATAGACACATGTAAAGCTAAATGTAAAGCTATAAAAATTCTGTTAGCATTTACATGTCGAATAGTGGCATATCTGAGTAGCCCAGGGTCTCCTGAAAATAACATATGGCATGTATGAATATCTCATGTACATGATTTATTATTGTAATTGACCAAAATACCAATATAATTATACCATATTATCTTAGGTTTGTGAGTTTTCATATTTGAGCTGTTCACATTGTTGTTCACAAGTTTTGTCTGAGCAAAATATCCATCATATTTCTGTCTATAAACGAGTGTGGAAAGCCTAAAAATCTTATAGTCCTGGCTGATGGACAGTGTTAGACAACAAAACAGATATTTAGTTTTAGCGCTACTGATTGAAAACTGAGAGGAATTTAGTTGCTGGCGCACTAATATAGCTAAAGGATAACTCGGATATTTACGCTGTGTGTAGTTACTGAATAATAAGCTTGAGGCTGGAAGAGGTTTGGGGTTTTTAGTTTAGTGTGATTAGCATACGGTATTTGCTCAGAGCTTCAGATGGTTTTGGAAACTCAGTCAAGTTTAGAAGAAATATAAGTGAAGAGTTTAGAGTGCCCTGCTGTCAGGGAGCATGAGCTTATTAGCTTTATTAATGTTAATTTATTAACATGATTAATGCTAACCTATTAGCTTTATTATTGTTAATTTATTAACATGAGTAATGCTAACCTATTAGCTTTATTATTGGTAATTTATTAACATGAGTAATGCTAACCTATTAGCTTTATTATTGTTAATTTATTAACTTTATAACTGTTAACTTGTTAACTATACTAGCTTTATTAATGCTAACTAATAAAGTACATTAATGCTGAGTTTTCTTAATTATTATTAAGTTATTAATAACTTTATGTTCACTTAAATATTAGTTAGTTAGTGTGTGATGGAGTTGAAGGCTGTGTGTGTGTGTGTGTGTGTGTGTGTGTGTGTGTGTGTGTGTGTGTGTGTGTGTTTCAGTAAGCGTTTGATTTCTGGTTGGTTCTTGGCTTTAGCTGGTGCTGGCGGAGCCATAATCAGATTGAAAGCATAACTGGATCTGTCTGCAGAGAGATGACTTCATCAGCTCTTCTACAGATTCTCTCCCACGTTGCGTTTTAAAGGCCAAAAAACCAAAAGCTGATCCAGGATGTCCCAAAACCTCCAGTCTCCATTTCAGCGCTGGTTGTTGGCTGGACCACATGGGAAGAGCAACTGTAAACCTACTCTGGGACAAACATCTGCCATAAAGAGTGCTGCACAAATGAAACGGAACTGAACCGAATTGAACACGTCCCACTTCATCACGCGTCCAGAGGAAGCGCTTGACTTGTATGTAAAACACATTCACAGTTTTTAGCCCAGAACGTCTGGTTCTTGTTTGCGGTGCAGCTCGTCTGGCCGAAAGCTCGGCCTGGAAATCGAACTGAGCCAGAAACAAATTGTTCTTGATCTGAAACTGAGGGATCGGGTTCAGCTCTGAAAACCTCAGTTCGCTTGAACTGCTTTCACTGATCGATCCTGATGGAGAATTCTGACCTGATTCTTCACCATCGACACAATCGTTTTTCACAATCAGACTGACCTGTGACTGTCTATCTGTCTGTCTGTCTATCTGTCTATCTATATCTCTCTCTGTCTGTCTGTCTATCTATCTCTATATATCTATCTGTCTGTCTGTCTATCTATATCTGTCTCAGTCTGTCTGTCTGTTTGTCTGTCTATCTCTGTATATCTATCTGTATGTCTGTCTGTCTATCTAACTGTCTATCTATTTGTCTGTCTATCTATCTCTCTATCTATCTATCTATCTATCTGTACATCTATGTTTTCTGCCATTCTGTCTATATAGCTACCTTTTTGTCTGTCTGTCTGTTTTTATCAATCTGTCAATCCATCTTTCTGTCTAGCTATCTGTCTATGTTTGTCTGTCTATCTATCTGTCTGTCTGTCTGTCTGTCTGTCTGTCTGTGTGTTGTTGGTTTCTCTGTAAAAACTTACTATCAGCTTTGATTTGATTGATTTAGTTCAGGATTCCAGATGAAATGCTGTAAGTCAGTTATAATTCCTGAATAAGGTTGGGATTTTTTTCGCGAATATGAATTTGTGAGGAATCCTATCTGGAACGTGTCAGATCTGAGCTGGGTAGGAGTTCAGTTCTCTGGTTCTGAGGTTCAGACTGATCCAGGTTATCAGTGGTTCTGAAGCTGTATTTCTGCCTCTGTTGCTCTTTTTCCAGTGATTCTGTCTTTGGTCTGGGGAAAAACTGAACCGCTGTGTGAAAGCTGAGCAGATCTTTCCAGAGAGGGCCTCTGGTAGGGGTTCTGTGATTAGAGGAGTGATGAAGGTGCATCAGCTCTGTTTCTTTCAGCAACAAGTGAAAACAAGTGAACACACCTCCACAGAGAACATTTACACATAAATATGACGTTTTTCTGCACAGTTTAGTGCACAGTTTTACTTTTGCACTGGATTTTACATATTGGGAAAAATAAAAAATAGAATATAAAATGTACCTTAACTTTGGCTGACTTTTTTACAGTAACTGTGAAATATTAATATTTATTTTATACAATATTAAGTAGTAGACATTATGTAATGGTAAATAATATACTTTGATACACATTATTTAAAATAATGTTTTGTTTGCTGTCTCACCATTTGATCCACCCTTTGAAATTCGGGGCGTTCTGGATAACATCATTCTAGATATTGATTTCATTAGAACTTCATTCTGTTTATTGGCATTTTGTTCCATCTGTTGATTTTAATAAACCTTTTTTTCTAGATATTAATTTTATTAGCACTTCATTCTGGATCTTAATATTACTCAAACTTCATTCCAGATGTTAATTTTATTAGAACATTTTTCTGGTTATTAATTTTATTAGAACTTCATTATGGATATTAATTTTATTTGAACTTCATTCCGGATGTTAATTTAATTTGAACTTCATTCTGAATTTTGAATTTATTAGAATTTCATTCCACCTTTCAATTTTAATAAACATTTTTTTTCTGTATGTTAATTTTGTTTGAACTTTATTCTGAATTCTAAATTTATTAGAATTTTATTCCATCTGTTGATTTTAATAAAAAGATTTTCAGGATAATAATTGTATTAGAACCTCATTCCAGATGGTTATTTCCTTAGAACGTTTTTCTGGTTATTAATTTTATTAGAACTTCATTCCAGATGTTGATTTTATTAGAACATTAGATCATTCTGAATTTTTGATTTATTAGAATTTCATTTCATCTGTTAATTTTAATAAACCTTTTTTTCTAGATATGAATTTTATTAGAACTTCATTCCATATGTTTATTTTATTATGTTTTTTCTGGTTATTAACATTATTTCAACTTCATTTTGTGGTTCTGTGTACAGAACCCAATAGCGGAATAGAGTAAATGTTGACAGTGAATTTTCGAGCAGTGTTTATTGTTCCAGATGAGACGGTTTTCGTGAAGCTCAGGCTGTAAATCTTCTGCGAGGTTTGTTTATGCGCTGATGTTGACCGTGAGTCTCCAGAGGCTCGTGTCTCTCACTGTCACTGTTGTTGTTTCGTTTGGTTTCATTGGCCCTGGAGGACTGCGGTCACTCACAGCAACAAGCCCTGCTGGGCCAATCAGCCGTCAGCGTGGCCCGCGTGTGCTGCGCTGTGG